CATTTACTGCGATATGCAACATGCAATAAAATATGTATCCAAGTTTACAAGAAAAAATATGCAATGGTATAATAAAATTCAACACATCTTTTTGTCTTTTGTAGTTCAGCAAGAAATAGCTGAGCCAGCCAACCCAGAGACAGTCAGACTAACAGGACACAGACTGAAAATTAAAGTATAAGAAACCTAGAAGAATTAAAGCACAAATAATAAAAATTAGTGTATAAATGATTTTTTAAAGGTTCAATGTATAGACTTTGGCTGTTAATGACATATGGGACAAATTTCTAAATTAGATTTTGCTGCTTGTGAAGGAGGAGAATCACTGATGCAGCTTAAAGGGAAGCCATGCAGGGATGGATAGATGGAAGTGAAGTTGTGTCCATTCTAGGGATGCAGGATATATTTCTATTGGCATCGGTATCGGCTGTTATTCAGCATTTTTTATACATTAATGTTTTTGAGCCCTTTATAAAATAATGCACTAAAGGCAGGCATCTGTCTATAACTATAAATACCACAAATGTATTGTGGTTCTCTTGTGTTCTCAACAATAGTAAAGCGTTCAATAAATATATGTTAGAGCTCATTTTTTGAAAATACAAACCTTATTGAAAGCGTTCGGGTTGAGTAGCTGTAGGTCCATCGGCCACCGCCCTTAAAGCGCCCACACCAACTTTTACTGCAAAGTTACACCCTTGCTGCAGATACAGTTATTTGGACGAATTCCTCTCTTGAATAATGTTTTTCCCCAGGATGTTCGGAAGTGGTAGTCATAATAAATTATTTTTTTCCCCCCTTTTTTTTTTCCCGGCTGTGTAATGTGGAAGGAATGTTTTTATTAATGGCAAGATGCAGCTGCACATTCTTCATTTTATAATTTCAGTGGAACAAAAGTGAATTTGATATAGCAAATGGGTAGAAAAAATACGGAGAGATTTAAAGGAATAGTACACCCAAAACATGATTAGCCTTCATTTTCTACTCACCCCCATGCTGAACAACACTCTGGAGTACTTTTTGATATCTCAAATGCATCTGGAGATCTGGGAGGCTGCTCGTCCAATGTATACCAAGCGCGCGCCTGCGAGTTCACGAGTCTACGGAAACCGCGGCAGACCAAACCAGATGAAAG